ACCACAAGTGGAGGGATCCTGACTGTGTCTATTGACAACCCAGGAGCAATCATAACCCCAATGTGAGTTTTCAATTAAGTTTTGAAATGTTCTGAACATAGTGAAATTGCTACTCTGAGCCATTTAGCAAGTTCCTAGCAGGTATTTCAGGTGACCTCAAAGTCACAGCTTCTTGTGAAGGCTTTGAAATCTGGCCCCTTTTGGAGTGTTTCTGAGCTATGTTTAAATAAAATCACCTCTGGATTTCACATTTCATCTCCTAGTTAGGAGCTTCATGTGGTGTATAGAGTGCAAGAGTGGTGGGCTGGTAGATTTTCATCTTGTCTGCCCCTTCCAAATCAGATTGTGTGGCAGCTGTTTTCCTCCTCTATCTGAATGGAAATCAATGAGCACTTAGTTGATGAGTGATGGTAATAGTTCCTCCCTGATTCATAAAATTACTGCTGGACTTATGCTTAGGGAGAGCATTGCTGTATTTGTCTTTGGGAAGTTGGTGGTACTGCTGTTTATAGGTGTTGTATTTTTAAACACGTCTTGAGTAGCTTTTTTCATTAGTAGCATTTCATCAGTAAGGAAGACTGTACCAATTTTTTTTCTTAATGGAAATAATTAACTGCAAATTATGTGTTTGTCAGTAGAATTGAGAGATAAAAAATAAGATGGCTTCCTGCAGGGACACTTGCTGTCTGGCAACAATAACAAATGGTCCCTTTTATAGTTCTGCCTGACTTTTACCTTCTTGAATTTGTGCCTTCCATCTATTCAGCCAGCCTGATCAAATGGCTCAATGAAAAATTCATACCTCTGTCAGCATTAAGGTTTTATTGCATAAAACACATATTCATCATGTCCTTTGTAACATTCTTCTTTCACAGTTCCCAGAAATTACGATTAACTCGTACTCCTGTGCCACCATTTCTCATGAAGAGGGACCAATCTGAAGAGAAGAAGATTCCAAAAGGGGTTCCATTGCAGTTTGATATTAACAGTGTTGGAAAACAGGTAAATGCGGTTTCTTTCCATAACCGTGGCAGTAGTTTCAAGACTGATAAAAGCCAGTGAGGCACTTTCCTCCTTGACTCTCTAGTGACAGAAAGAGGGAACTAGTGACTACTTCTTGTTTCCACTTCCAGTTTTTCCACTAACTTGCTATGTAAATTCAAGCAAGTAGCTAAACTCATTGTTCCTGTTCTTCTAGTTCATGTCTTGCCTGCCCACTTGATTTAAATGGGATTGAAAATGTTTAATATTTCTAAAAGCCTTCTGGTGTTCTGCTGTGCTCGCATCAGCAACTGTGTGTAACTCAGGGATGAGCTGCTTAAAGCTGTGTAACCTGCATGGAACCCTGGCAGCTGAATTTTTAAGGCAACTTTTGCTATGCATCTAGGAAAAAAAAAATCAAATGTGATGATGTAAAGGCTTGAAAGATGAGCAATTTTTCCCAGTTTTATGAAGACAGGCAATTTGGGGCAGGAATCCTCATGCTGTCATTGAAGGAATTCTTACAGGTGACAGAGTTAAGTGCTGTTCTTGTAATGAGCTGTTTAGTGCCAGCTGTAGAAAACTGCATGGGGTCAAGGCATTGGTCTGGATCTGTTCCATCCATGAATAAGTATGTCAAAAATAGTCTACTATAGTACTCTAAAATTAATTGAACTTTTGGATTAGACTCCAGTCTGCTGCCTCAACTGGGTGAACTGGAAAGCAGCTTGCATTAACACAGTGGAAAGGACACATTTGTTGAAGTTGCAGAGAATCTGTATGGGGAAATGTGTATTGAAAGTTCCCTTTTTCAGGCTGGCTGTCCTCAGCTTAACCTATCATATTTTTAGTAGGCTTTGAGTAATGACATTGTGTACCATGTGTTCTTGATGAATTCTGAGAATTGCAAGCTCTTGATGTGTAGTCCAATCTGATTTTTAAATAGTGGAGGGAATGATGAAATCAAACCTTCTTTTTAAAAAATCCAAGTGAGGCAATTAAGGAGTCAAGTGGTGATATTGAAGAAAAGGGTATTCTTATCTCTGTTACGTTGATTAAAATAGCCCAACATCTTTGAAGTTTATGGTTCAATGGCTTTATTTTTCAGACAGGGATGACGCTGAATGAGCGATTTGGGATCCTGAAGGAGCAGAGAACTGCGCTGTCTCAGAACAAAGGAAGCCGCTTTGTAACAGTGGGCTAAGCTGGCACATGGACTTGGGCACTGATCCCACCGACCTGAGAACCTGAGATACAAGTGGGCAGAAGAACACAGCATACATCACTGAAATTCTCCAGACATCTTGCTAAGATGGTGGCAGAGCTATCTCTCCTTATTACTTTTACTTTGAATGGTAAAAGACATGATGCCCTGAGGGAGAAAAAGTGGGAGTGGCACCATCACCTGGTTGGCACCATCACCTGGTTGGAAAACATTCTATTGCCCAGCTGACGACAAACACTGGTTTTTGATTCATATCGCAATTGAAAAACAAGAATTTTAGAAGTTGTGGGGTTTTTTTCATTTAGGAGTGCTCAGTATCTGTTCTTTGGCCCCTCTGTTATGGTAATAAGATTGTGTAAAAGTGTTTCATTACAAACCCCATCTTAGGGTTTTTTAGGGACTGCCTCTGAGCTCTCCCTTGGACTGCAGTTTGGCACAGAGCCTCAGTCCACGGATACTTTGGTAGTGATGTAGCGGCATTTTTCATGGGAGCATTGGTTCTGTACTTCTTTGTGCTTTTAAAGTTCTATTTTTTTCCTTTCTTGAAAACTAAATGTTTTGCATCCTCATTTTCACAAATAAAGCTGTTAGCTGAGACCCAAAATATGAAACTGGGATGGAGACTATTCTACCCTTATCCTTAAAAGTGGTCCAGATTGTATATTGTATTGGAGAAGTACTGCAGAGGCAGCGTGAGAGTCATTTAGATTACAAATAGCTCAAGTTCATCTTCCTCTGCAAGTGGGGTTTGTCTGTCTCCTTTTTTTCTTAAACTTTAGCTTTCTATTTCTTTTCAAAAGGTTTTTCACAAGCTTAATGCAATAACTTCACATTTTTTAATAATTTCACAGGAATAAATACAGCAGTTAACAAGGAAGTCAGCAGTATGGTAGAATTCCTTACCCTCCCAGACACAGGATTGTCATCCTGCGTACCTTGCCCCAGAGGGTTTTTTTTCTGGCTCTTAGAAATAGCTGGAGGGAAGCAATCTAATGGCACTTGTTTGTGTATACCAAAGAGAGGTAAGATGTGAAGCTGATCCGAAGTGGTCAGACATCTGGAAATTGGCTGAAATTGGGGAATATTGCTGGATGAAAAGCCCTCGATTTGCCAGCGTGTGTAAGGCATTAAGCAGGAGCATGTAGTCACTTGTTTTAAGCTTAGCTCTGTGCATCAGAATCTGCATGAAGTAACAACCAGGGCCTCCTCAGTCTGAATTTATATAATCCCTAAAAAAGAGGCACTTCTTCAGAATTCCTTAACAGATGAGCCTAGCACTGACCTATAGCAATGAGGTTTAGGTAGAGTCAGGTAAAAGAGTGGTTGTCCTACTGCATCCAGGAATGTTTATGGTGTTTGAAGTGGGTTTTAACTCCTTTTCATGTTCTTGAAGAATTTACATTTGACTTCTGACAGAGTTTGTTTCATTTTTATCTCAAATTCCAAGTTAACTAGCATATACTGGCAACTTCAGCCTTGAAGAGCATTTGACAGCAGAAGGGCTTTTTTTATGTATAGGAGTTTTGAAGTCAGAGTGCACTCTGATGCTATATAGTACTTAAACCCTTATTTTTAATGTGGAAAAATATACCTTAGCAGAAGCAAACTAAACGTAATGGTGTTAAGGTTTCTTTCTTAATTACTAGTAGGAATTTTTTTTTTTTTTAAAAACTATCCTACTGTTAGAATTTGAGTAGATAAAGTGTTGTCAGTCATCCTGTTCCAGTGTATACGTTTTCCATGTGCCAGGATGCAACAAAAAATTTCTTTTGCATCAACATAGATGCAAAACATTGATGCAATGCATCAAAAAATGCTAGTTTGTATTTAATGAGAAGATGCTTTACACTGTACTTTTTGGTATTTTTTGGAGAAGTTATTACATTTGATCTATTCTGAAGCTGTTAATTTTTTTTTTTTAATAAAAGGTTACAGGTTTCATACTGTCGTGTTCCTGTTATAACCACCTGGGCAATACTCTGGTTATGTGAATTTTCTGATAGTGTGTGAGGGGTTCTTAATGATGAAATTCTTATTAAATGTTCTGAAGAACACAGCAAAAAGCAGCTTAATTTAAAGAGGGCTCGTACTCATTGCCCAGCTTAACACCCTGACGATTGAGCGCTACTTGGAGTGGCACCGTGTAGGATCATGTGCATTTAAATGTATCAGCTACTAATGCATGTTTCATGTCTCATGTAGTGGTTTGGTGTGATTCGAGTGCCAGGTGTGTCAGCCCAAGCTCTGGTTGTTGCTGTGACATGTCTTGCCAGCGAGAAGTCGCTGTCATTTAAATCCTGTGCTGCAGGAACATCCCGAGCAGCCAGCGCCGCTGTGCCTGGGAGTGCCGTGCTGGCGGGAGGCACGAACAGTGGAAATGCTGCTACAAATTGGTGGTGGAGGAAAAAGTACTGCCTGCAAACATATTTGATAAGGTTGCTACTTTTCCCGCCTGGTTGGGATCTGTGCGCCCTATCCTTGGTTTCCTGCCGGAAAGGGTCTGACACAGCAGCGGTAATCGATGCTCACCCAAAAACCAACCTGTGACCTCCCACCTCGGCGGGCAAACTAGAATTTTTAACCATTTCAGAAGGTGTACAGCCACGTCAAGGGGAGCTGGGCGCCAGATTACCCCAGGGCGAGAGGGGGAAAAGCAGCCCCGAAAAAAGGACGATTCGGGTTAATTAAATACTGACGCGGAGCCCCGCGCGGTCCCTGCGCCCACCGGGCGGCGGCCGCGCATGCGCAACTGCCGCCCGCGCTGTCATGCGCCGTCGGGCGGGCCGCGGCGGGGAAATGGCGGCGCCGGAGGGCGGCTGTGCCGCGATGCCCGCGGCTTGTCCCGCTCCGCCCGGGCCCTCGGCCCCCGGCTCCTGGAGCCGCTCCTTGGACCGAGCCCTAGAAGAAGCGGCGGCCAGCGGAGCCCTGAGTTTGAGCGGCAGGAAGCTCCGGGACTACCCGCGGGCCAGCGCCGCCAACCACGATCTCAGCGACACCACCCAGGCTGGTGAGGGACGGGGCGTGAATGGGACGAGGCGGCGGGGGACGGGGGCAGGGGCTCCTCGGAGAGGGACTGTGGGGGCTGCCTGTGCAGGAGGGAGTCTGAGGTGGCCGATTTGCTGTCTCTTCGTTCCTTGAAGCCGGTTTCGTCTCCTCCGCCCTTCCTCTCGGCTGAGGCAGGATGGAGGAGCTGTGGCAGGGTTCTCCTTCCTCTGCCCGTCTGATGAGATCTCTCCCGTTTGTTGGGGCTTTTTTTTCTTTATCAGCTCCGCTCTGAAGTGTTTGCCTTATCGGGGGCTGTTTTAAAAAGAATTGTGAGGTTTTTCTCAGTGCTGTTGCTCGCTGATGTGGTTTTAGCCAGCCCTGTTCTTGGTCTGATGTATCTATATGTGAGTGTGTGTATATACACATAATCTCCTATCCTGTGCTGCTGACAGGGGAAACCAACTTTCCAAGAAGGGCTGTCAGGTGTGTGTATGCTAAAGACAACAATTTCTTATAAGCTCTGTAAGCTCTTATACTTCTATTATTGTAGTTTGAGACAGCCATAAAGAAGATATGAAAGGCACTGTGAACATAAGCATATCCCTTTTCTTTCTTTCTCCTGTATAATATGGATTTAAGGATATTAAGGAATATGGAGTACTTTATAAGGTAATACCAATAGAGCTGGTTTTATCCCTCTGCTCCTCAGATATATTCATAACAGTAGACTAAAAAGGTATACTTTGCCTCTAAGTACCTTGATCACAAGCAAAAACATATTTGTGGAGTATGTTTATATGTTACTGTGTTAAACAGAGAGATGAGACTTGGGAAACGATGAGAGTTTGTGCAGGATGTAGCAGTTTTTTTAGTGCATTATATAGAGCAGACTTAGTTGATGTTTATTTTGATTGTCCAGTTCTATAAGTGAAGTAAAAGTAGTTTTAAAAGGTGTCAGTGTGCCATTTGTTTGTAGCTTTGATTGATTCTCATGCAGTCATTTAGATTTATTTTAGTGTTTTGTGTTGAGTTGTAGCTTAAAAGCTTAGAAATAAACTTCAAACGTCACTTTTTTTCAAGCTACCACATTTGATGGTGTGTTGGTTACACTGTCAGTCAAGTAATTCAAAATGGAGCCTCCTTTAAAATGGTCTGACTTCGTACTCTGTCCTGTAACATCCTATTTATGCAAAAATCTGTCACTAATAAAAAAAACACCCATGAAAACCCAGGAGATAACTGTGGTTTGCTTGATCTGAACACATCTATAAATAGAAAAGACTTCATGTTGGGGTATAATTTTTTTGTTGTTGTTGTTCCAAGGGTTTTGTACAAATGCAGTTGCACGAGTGTGTAGTGGCTAATCCGTAAGCAAATGCAGCACACACATTTGTGAGGGGTTTGGGCTTTTTGTTTATAACACTATTCATTTACTGTACTCTTAAACAATTTGTGGGAATTCTTGTTTCCACCAAGGTTCCCATCTATTGTGATGAATATTTGCATTGTAATTGTTCAAGAAGCATTAAATGCTAATAAGTGGCAGTGCATGCCATACACTTTTGTGCATTTATCATCACAATGAACCTTAGAAAAAAGCTAGAACTGTTCTTAAGTTGTAAGAAGCAAAGCTTATTGAGCGTGGGGGGGACGACACGTTCTGTTTAAATTCTCTGTTTTGGAGGCTGCTGTGAATAACTTCATCTTGTCCCTTTTTTTTAGCGTGGTCTGTTCTATGACTTTTTTATTTGAATAAGGCTGAGCAGTGGCAAAAAAATCCATGCAGGCGTTTCTGACTCCCAGTTTTCAGTTGAGTGCTCAGCTCCAAATTTAATCCACTTCTTTCCCCACGTCAACTTCTTGTGAAACCTGCAATTCTTTTGTATGGGAGTAGCCGCAAATAGTATGATAGAATGTATATGTGTGTTAGGTGTTACAAACACTTAAACACATTAAACAACCCCCCAGACTGTAGACTCCCAAGTGCCTTCCTACATGCTGTGCCACAAAGACTCCAAGCACACCAAGTGGGACATCTGTGTTTCATAAACATCATTGGAATTACTCCCAAACTACAGAACTGGAGATGAAACGAGGGATGTGCAAACCTTCCTCTTCTTCTGCGCCTGAACAGGCACCTCTCCCGTGTGGGTCATGTTACAGTGATATAGCTGATCCCCATTCTTGTGGTAATAAGAGTAATTGCGTGTCACTGTAACCACATCGATGCTTAGGAGGTGGGAATGAATCACATCCCTCATTAATGTAACTATCCTGCCGGAAAACCAGCCTCAAGCCTTAACAGATTCACTGGCCTTGCCTGGAAGCCGCGGTTAACGCAGCTGAACCAGCAAAGCGGGTCAGTAGGAACAGGGTGTTGGAGATTAGAGGCTTGATTGAGTTCAGTTGGGTGCTCTCTGTGGATTTTGAGGTTGGTGATGGGTGATGTCAACCATAAGGTGCATTTTCAGATTTTAAATCAATGAGAAGGTCACATTGCTTTGGATCTTTTAAGGGTTCAGATTTGACCAGTACTAAACCTGGTGCTCAAGCTGTAATAGCTTCTAGGTACCGTTCGTAACCCCTCACTAAACAGACATCAGAGCCAAGTTTCTGACAGGTGTATCTTGACTTTGGACAAGCATTTGATAAACAGATTGTAGAATCATAGAATATTGTAAGTTGGAAGGAGCCTATATGAATCGTTGAGTCCAACTCTCTGCTCCTAGCAAGGCTACCTAAAGTGAAATCAGGTCAGGTTTGCTGCATTTTCATTCTTGAAGTTAGCATTGTATTTCTTTTAGGCATTGGTGGAAAAATTAAGTTTCTCGTTAATCATTTGCCTTGGTCACTAAACTTTTCAGTGGAAAGTGGATTCTCTAGTCACATCAGAGCCTCAGCTGCTCTGGGCACAGCCACCCTCCAGATGAAGACCCACATGTGGCTTTTTAAAACAAGATCAGTGCTCAAGGTTATTCTCAGAACTGTGCAGATAACTTCAGCAGGCAGTAAAGTATTAGTGAGTTTCTGGTTGTTTTGTACTTCGACTGGAATTAGGATCACAGTATGAAATCAAATTGAAGGTGGGATTTGTGCTTGAGAGCTTTGGAATGGATTGGTGGGAAGGTGACTTCCTATGGTGTGTGATGCATTCATCCATCTAACGTTCTTGTACGTGTGGGATGGCTCATGTACAAGAAATGCAGTGTAGTAATAACTAATAACTTAGACACTGAAAGAGTATCTCATCCCTTTGTGCTCCTCCCTTACAAATTAATTGGAATTTTAGGAAGTGACTCAGGCTTACAAAGCTCATTGATGATGAAGAATGAGCAAGCTTCATTATCAAATGGAGGATGTGCTTCTCTTTTTCTTTCACACTCTTTCATTTAACAGGCATGATCTCTACCCATTTTAACTGGGTTGAGTTACAAACCATTCGTTCATTCCATTCTTGTTCTCGGCCAGGGAATAGGAAGAGGAAGGGCTATAAACCACCTGAGTTAAATATGAAAGGAAGTATGGTTGCATTTTGCCAGCGTTAATGTAGACTGTGATGTCATTATTTGACAGCATTCCCAGTGGCCTAAAGCATACATCGAGCAGAAAAGTTATTTTTCAAACCCTCCATGACAGCTGTAATTTCCTACACCACTCACTGTCTACATTTTTAAAGGAGAAAATGGGAATATGTGGGTTTATGCAATAAAAAAAAATGACTGTTTTATGGTAATGAACTGGTAAGATAATTACATGTCTTGTTCCTGGAATATATTAATAGTGATAAAAGAAAGAATAAAACTGTCTGCTGTGCCTTTTGAATGGCTTTGCCAATAAGGTATCTCTGTAGTTTTGTTCTTAGCAGCTCTCCATAGAAATGGTAAAGTCTGACCATAGTGTCAGTATAATTTCTATATGTTAAGTGCTTGCATGCATCTAGAAGGTCTGCAGTGACTGTGTGAGTGTTCTGCAGTGAAGGGTCTCACTGGTATTTTTCTTTCCTGCCAGAAGTTCAGCTGATATTGCCTGATGAAATGTAAAACAGCTCTAGAACTGCGGTATGGCTCATACAGCAGTGTCCCTGTTTCCCAACATTTGTTCTTAAAGCCACAAAAGCAGAATCCAAACCAGACTAAAATTAAATAATTGTTTGGGAAAAATCCTCTTCAGGTTACTGTATCCTGAATGTAATTTTATTACGATCTGTAAGGTAACTTGGAAGGAAGTGGGATCGGTGCTCAAGTCTCAGGCTGTTTGTCAGCACAGTTTACAGTGTTGGTACTTAGATTATCTGAAGTTTCACTTTTAAAAATAAGAACCTAACATGTCATTAGGGTCATTCAGAGTCTTTTGCTGGCATTTGTGTACTTGTCTCTACCCTTACTAAAACCCAAACAAATACACTGTCCAGAGGTTCTGGTAGCTGTAAGAGCGGGAAGGAGAGAGAATGACAACTTTTCCCCAAACTTTGGACAGTAATCCAACTTGTTCCATTCAGTTGTATTTTTTGGTCTTAGCTCCTACTTGTGTCAATCCCTTTTTAATTTGATTATTGCTTCCTCTTGTTTCCCTTCTTGTTATGTTTTTGCTATTGAATAGTCTCGATCTTGTGTGTTCTGTGCATAAATACTGGCAATTCTTAGTCTAGACTAATGGAATTGTCTGAGAGTGGTGCTTTGCTAAGCTGGTAAATTGAGGTCAGTTCTCTTGCCTTTTTTTTGTTGTTACCCTCGAAACGCCACAAGCAGTGAACTGTTGTAGTTTATGGTTCATTTTTGTTGGATGTGTTCGGTTTTGATGGAGACCTGAGGCCTTCCAGCAATGCTTAACTCTTCTTGGCACACAGGCAGTCTTTTTGCCTAATGTTTTATGGCAACTGGGAATCTGAGCTTGTAGTCTAATCCTTGTGGCAATAAAAGCAATACGTGACATTCAGAATGCCTCTGTTATCTTTTAAAGCAAACAATAAAGTCTCACAATCAAACTTTTACAAGTTCTTCTAAGTGGTGTTGGTGTTTCCAG